ACGATGCAACTAATTATCCGGTTAAATTTTTAAATTCATTGAAACCACCGGGCATGCCATATCATAGGCTTATTCTGTGTGTGGGCACACCTATTATGTTGTTGCGAAATTTGAAACCGCCTAAACTGTGCAATGGGACCAGGCTTAAAGTCAAAGCTTTACATCACAATATAGTAGAAGCCACAATTTTAACAGGATGTGCAAAAGGGGAAACTGTGTTTGTACCACGAATCCCTTTAATTCCGAATGATCAACCGTTCGAATTTAAACGATTACAGTTTCCCCTGAAAGTCTGTTTTGCAATGACTATAAACAAGTCTCAAGGCCAAACTCTTAAATTTGCAGGAATAGATTTGCGAGAAAACTGTTTTTCACATGGGCAATTCTACGTAGCTTGCTCACGCGTAAGCTCACCCAGTAGCTTGGTGATTTTGTCGCCTACTAATAGATCAGTGAAGAACATTGTCTACAAAGAAGTTTTGTAGATAACATATTGAAAAACTATTAGTAAAACATTTATTTTGAACCTTTAGTGCTAAAATTTATCGTGAACAAAGCTTCTGCCGCCAAAAGCTATAACTTATCGAATAGGTTATGATAATAATCATTATCTTAAAAACTAAATTAATATGTATAAAATATTATTTCAAAAATCTTAATTAATTTAAATTTCAATAGATTTAACAAAATTTAATCTTGGCAGGTTACATACATTTATATACTTAAACCCGGCAACGACGGGTAATTTAGCTAGTATAAATAAAAAAGAGCAATTCGATGAAAGTGAAATAATTACTGAATTAACCAGAAATTCGCCTAAGAGGATATACAGCTGTCAGAGTGGAACAAGTGACTGAAGACTGAAACCAAAATTATTATTATTATTATAAATTATATATTAATAAATATTTTTAAAACTATACTAAAATGCTTGAATTACATTTAAAAACTTGGTGGTAGTTGGTGGGGTGGGTGGGGGTTAAGGGTGAATTCTTATATCCTCTCTTACCTTACTTATCCAAAAAAAATGATTAGCCCCTCCCATTTAAAAATCCTGGCTACGCCACTGACTTTGAAGTTAAACATGTTGTAGTAGCATATGGATATTTATCTTCTTATTTTATATTGTATAATATTAATATACAATACATGTATGCAATACTTTAAAAAGAAAAACATTAACTACATGCGTTTGACAGATATGATAGTGATATGAGCCATAGAGATATCCGAAATAATAAAAGAGAGTAGCCAAATATTAGGACATGTGGTATTGATTAATCATAATCTTTTTCATTTAGTGAAATGTTTCTAACTTCTAAAGGAAAGCGGATAACTAGGATTCTATTATTCTTTTTCTTTATATTCGGCCCTTAAGACCATCCTGAAAACGATAAACTTTGACACCTATCCCTGTCCTTCGCTACTTCTCTCCATTTGACACCAAGCTCTATCCTTTCCACTTCTCTTTTCACACCATCTTCCCATCTCAGCCTAGGTCTACCTAGTGATCTTTTTCCTATAAGGTTTTCTTCGATCACCCATTTTACTAAAGTACCCTGTTTGTGCCAAACATGTCTTGCCCAACTTAGTTTTCGTTTGGCAATCTCCCTAACTATACTCGGCCTCTGAAAAAGTCTTTGGAGTTCCACATTATGAAGTTTTTTTCCATTCATTGCGTGGGAAAATTGTACTTTTCACAACAAGAACTTTTATTACATTGATTTTTCAATTCTTTAAATTCACAGTTGGCTAGTAGACTATTATTTAAGACCAGCATTTCTGATGATAAACTAGCTGTCGATATTTTCAAAGTATCCTGATATATTAAACAATAAACAGATTAATTAACATAATAATACTTCAAAACATATGACCATGTAATAAATATTTTAAATAGTTAGTTATTTTTTATTAAATGTATATCTTATAAGTTATATTCATCCAAGTTAAAAAAGTTGTCTACAGATTTGGCCAGCTCTAAGGTTTCTTCAGAAAAATGTTTTTCTAAATTCACAATTATTCCATCAATTATCCTTAAATAAACTGCTGTACACCAATATTCAATAGTGTTTGAAGTATTATTTTCAGACAATGCTCTTGTTCGATGACTCAGGTCATAATCTTGAAGTTTGGTTGGTTCACGACGTTTCCGATTTTGTTTTTTGTTTGACACTATAGTCAGATAAAATACATAAATATTTTTTAACAATATGTTATTATAAAGACTTGGGCACAGACATTTTAAATGTATGTTTTAAATAGAGCAATAATCCATTATTGATAATCCAAATAAATAATTAAGAACTAACCTTCGTTTGTGGATAGTATTGTCAATAGTATATTATTTTCATTTGAAAAATCTTGAACCTTTTGCCAAAATTTATCAAAAGCCTTATCAGAATGTTTTAAATGAAGTAATAACACCATTAATTATTTTTTCAGAATATCCCAATGTAGCTTTTTTATTTTAAAGCTGATAGCTCAAAATATTAATGATGCAAAGTATATCATAAAAAATGAAAATTATAACAACAAAGTTTTTTTTTTTGTTATTGAACTTAAAATGCCTGAAAATGAATAATCGTCATTGTCAATTTGATATAAAATATTATTTGTTTTTAGTAATGGTTCTTATTTAGTATTAGTTTTTATGAATAGCAATGAATCATATAGTTTGTATGATTGGTAATAATATTTGTCATTCCACATACAATTCAGAGTAGCCTACTGGTTAAATATTACTAAAAAGCGAGTAATAATCAAAGTTATATATAGAACATAATTTCGTAGCCAACCGTAAACCGTAGATAATATAATAATATAAAGTAAAATAAGATAATGCGATATTCTACAATATTATAATTGCTGTTTATAGTTTAATAGTTAAATAAAAACTGGAACAGTAAAACATGCAATTATACATTATTGTTTTAATCGTGAATTCGTCAACTATATTATATATTATTGTCTATTTATATTGGAAAAAATGTCCAACCCAATAAACCACAATAATTTACAAATTATTGATGAAATACTGAAATAAATATTCTAGGAAATTGGTGTGCTAATTTTAAATCTGGGGGTGCTAAACACCCCGAGCACCCCCCTATGTGCGTCTATGGTCACCATGTTGTAAAATGACAAATGTATAATATATTAATTTAAGTATTATTATCTTTTCAGCAATATCATAACCAGGGACTGGTACCTTCAAGTTTTTACGGTTCTGGTTCTTAATGATTTTATTAAAAGGTTCGGGTTCGGGTTCCGGTTTTTGTAAAATACAAATTAAGTGTTTGGATTCCGGTATTATAGGGTTCTAAATAAATTTTTTTTAAATTTATTCAACAGTTTTTTTTGATACATATTTAAAAATTACATATATGTTACCGGTATTATGGCATTATACTAGGTAATATGGTATAATATATGAAAATAAATCTCTCAAAATGTCACTCTTCAACTAATTTATATATATATATATATATATATATCACATAAAGTTTTTTTTAACAGCTGTATAGTAATGTATAATATTATAATATTATAATAAAGCCCGAAAATAGAATTTAATAATATGAGAAAATATGCAAAATAAATTTTTTCCATTTTGAATTAATTATTTTATGATTCAAATTTCTATCTGCAATAACAAACAATAATAATTTATTTGGGCAAAAATAGTTTGTACATGTTGAAACAGTTGTAATAGTAATATTTATAAATTAAATTAAGTTTTAACTATACACAAGTGCAATTCGGGGGAACTTAGGTGTGCTTAGCACCCCCATTTTCGAAATTAGCACCCCCAAATTTGTTCATGTTAAATTAAATGCTCATTACTCATTATGTATAGAAAAAACAGAATTTTTATTGTATAAATATATAAATTTATTATTTAAATAATGGTGGTGGAAGTTCGTCCTTTGTCTCTTTGTTCCTCGAATTAATAGTAATAGGTAGGGTTGCCAGATTTTGAAATCCCTAAACCGGGACATCATATTGATTGACTCTTTTTTTATTTTGATATGAAAACAAAATAAGTCTATAATTTTGTAATTTAAATACTTGTTGCACGGAAAAAAAATATTGATTGGTATTACTAAATTTACAATTATTTAAACTAAAAATGACAGTTATATATGGCAAAACTGCACAATAAGTTGTAGTTATTAAACGCATATAGGTAAACAGTTTAGTTGGTCAAACTTTACTGTCTAATTAAATCAACCATAATTATTTAGCTAAAAGACAACTACATAGTTTAGTTAGTTTAACTATCCATTTTAGTTGGTAGTCCATTGCATTTATTTATTCCCCCTCCCCAAAAAAAAAGAAAAAAATTTGACTATTTCGTATTAACTCTATTACACTTAAATTGTAAAGTAGGATGGGCATACTCACAGGGGAGGGAACATGAGGTTTAACCCGCTCCTTCATGAAAATTATAAATAATAAAAAAAGACATGGTAAGGTAGACATTATGTTTATTAAAATGAATAGGTAAATATAAAATACAAAAATATTATATTTATACATAAAATGTAAAGAACAACATAAATAAATACATAGTAAGAATCTAATGTTTAATATTTACAAAAGAAAACAAAAAAGTATATTAGATAACATAAAACCTAATATTTTATGGGTATATAACACAAACCATTGGAGGACTTACAACACACCGTAG